ATTCACCCTTCAAGGTTTCAAATCAATTGAACCAAACCCCACTATCAAATCAAGTTTTAAACAGTTAAAGAGTCAATATCGATCATCAATAGTAATAATCAACAAGAAACAATTATGATCATTTCCAAAAACATTAGGTATAAGCCCCTTTTGTTTATCAAACTCATTTTATATAACAAATCATCTCATACATCTCTATAACTAATAAAATACCATATATGTACCTCAAATCGTATATATACTAAGTTAAAAGTACTCCTACCTCAATAATGGAGGCAAAAAGGTGAAAACCCAAAGAGAACTTCAAAGAAAACACGATTCAATCGATAGAAACGTTGATCTTCATTCCATCTCCACTTTTTGCAAGGAATCAAGGCTTCATTCTTAGTGAAATGAGAGATTTTTAGAGAGAGAAAGCTAGGGTTTTCAGAGTTTATGAGAGGGGAAAGGATGAGGAAAAGAAAAAGTAAAAGAAATAATCTAAAATGCAACTTTTAAGTTGCTGATATCGTGCAGACCGCTCAAGCGGTCTTTCCACCGCTCATGCGGTGAACTCAATCTCTCAGAATTTTGATCTGTAAAACAAGATACTGGTTGCACCCTCTGCACCGCTCGAGCAGTCACCTTGGACACAACTAGTCACATAGCTCAGCTCCTAAGGCACTCCCAGCATATCAATTTTATTTCCATATGTAACCATTTAAGTAAATATTATGTTTACAATGTAAATAAGGAAGTATCCCCCATTTAGACTCAAAGAAAAATAAAAAATAAAAAAAATCAAAATCCAAATAAATCAAAAAGTAATTTCCCCAGTTTTAATAAAAAAAATAATTTTCCGACTAAAATTTTTAAGTTTGATGTTAAAGTAAACTGATTAATACCTCATAAAAAAAATCCCATAAAATCAAATTTGACTATTTAATATATAAAGAACAATTACCGTCAAAAATTATTTTCAAAATTGTATGTTTTGACAAATCCAATTTTTACACTTTGAAAATTTTCAAGCTAAGTCCAATCTTTTGGCATAAAACCTTTTTAATACAACCATCTTTATATGAAAAATAATAAGGGTTAGATCTGGACCCTAACTGATACACAATCTCCCGCATGAATGGAATTTGATGACAACAGAAATGCGACAATATACAAAATTGTCGAGAGAGCATAAATCGAAAATCAAGACAGGTAGCTTTTTGCTTTGAACAGTCCCTAGTGATAACCTATCGAACTTACTAGCTAACCAATTGATACAATGCCTTGAATTGTTCAGCTGTTTGTGTAAGCGAAGACAATAGATTTCACACAAAGTATCTTTTGACACATCGTGGTTCTCACGGTTGTACTCATTTTGGCCCTAAACGTTCCTGATTATTCATGAGTAGGGTTGTGCAAACACTGCCTAATCTGCTAAAACCACACTGATCTACATCAATCTGCACCGCTCTATCTGCTAACTGTGGTTTAAATTTTAAAATTCATAATGTGCCTTCAAAACTGTTCCGCTTCGCTATAGTTAATACATATATATTTTGTAACTTATAATGAAATATCAAAGTAAAAATGAGTGTAAGAGAGATTTAATATGTGGAATTTATTACAAATTAATAGCTATATATATGAAAAATGTTGTGTAAAATTAATTTTTGTTATATATATGAAAAATATTATGCAAATTAGTGTTATATATTATGCAAAGGCTTGATAATTGGTTAGAATATTTTTTAATCCATCTATCCGCTTAAAACTGCTCAAACCACAATTTGCCAATCCACTAATCCGCCATTCGATTTATAATTTTACTATCAAACCGCCCGAACCGCACCACTCACAACCCTGTTCATAAGTGTTCTAGAGAATTTAGCCAATTCATTATCATAGAATTGGCCCTAGTTCGACACTCATATAAGTGATTCTCATTGTGAGTATCCCTTATAGTCATCTTGATTTTTATGCCTAAAACAAGATATAAGTAATCATTAAAAGCAAAGCTTACCCTTAAACCCCTGCATACAACACATGGTGCAGATATGACTCTCACCATAGGAATGGATAGGGAATTTGATTCCTTGGTAATTTCTGACGAGTCACACATAACTTAGTTGTCCCTTTGAACTTAATTCTTGGGATATCTAGTCATCTAAGTAGGGTACCATTATGATAACTCTTATGTAATAAGGTTTAATCTCATTCCCTTTAATGAACTATACATAAGTTCTTTTGCCAAAACTTTTGTTAATGGATCTGCAATATTTTCTTTAGACTTTATATAGTCTATTGGGATTATACCATTTGAGAGCAATTGTTTTAGAGTATTATGCCAACGACGAATATGTCGTGACTTACTGTTATACATATGACTTTGTACCCTTCCTATTACAAATTGACTATCACAGTGAACACAAATAGCTGAAATATGTTTTGGCCACATTAGAATGTCTTCTAAGAAGTGGCGAAGCCATTCTACTTCTTCTACTTCTTCTCCTTCTTCTCATTCTTCTCCTTCTTTATCTAAAGCAATGAACTCAAATTCCATTGTGGACCACGCAATGCATGTTTATTTCGAGGATTTCCAAGAAATAGCTACACCCCCAGAATAAAGACATATCCACTAGTGGATTTTGTATCTTTAGTATCTGATATCCAATTGACATCACAATAGCCTTCGAGTACTCCTAGATATCGAGTACAACTCAGACCATGATCACAGGTAAATCTTAGATACCTAAGAATCCGCATAATCTCTTTCCAATAATCTTCTTCGGGGTTACTAGTGTACTTGCTTAACTTTCTGATAGCATATGCTATACCAGGATGTGTGCAGTTCATTAGGTACATTAGGCTTCAAATTATTTGGGAGTATTTTAACTGAGACACCCCATCACCATTATTTTTTGACAAATAAAGATTGACATATACAAGTATTCTTGCCACATTCACATCATCCTTGATGTTTTTACCAAGTATTTTCTCAAATATAATGTGATTGAAACAATGCATATACGTTCGATGTTTTAGTAATTTTCATTCCTAAAATAACAACTACTACTCCCATAGCTTTCATATCAAATATTTTGTTCAGTATTTGCTTGGTTGATTTGATCATATCATGACTACATCCAATTATGAGCATGTCATCCACATAAAGACAAACTATGATATAGCCTTTGCCAGTGTTTTTAACACAGACACACTTGTCACATTCGTTTATCTTAAATCCATTAGTTAGCATAGCATGATCTGATTTCTCATGCCATTGATTAGGAGCTTCTTTCAATCCATGGAAAGATTTTACAAGCCGACACACTTTCTTTCCTTTTTCTAGTACTACAAACCCTTCGGGTTGTTCCATGTAGATCTCTTCATGTAGATCCCCATTCAAGAAAGTTGTTTTAGAGAGCAAGCATGTGAATGGATGTTATCCTTGTCACTAGAGAGTAAGTGTCAAAATAGTCTAGACCTTTCTTTTGTCTATAACCTTGTACCACAAGTCTTGCCTTATACTTGTTTATTGAACCATCTGCTTTCATTTTCCTCTTAAATATCCATTTATACCCAAAAGGTTTACAACCGGGTGCAAGATCCACCAATTCCCAAGTGTGATTTTGCATGATGGATTTGATTTCACTATTAATAACCTCTTTCCACAATGGTGCTTCAGGACCCGACATTGCTTCCTTAAAGTTTTGAGGCTCATTTTCTAACAGGTATGTTAGAAAATCTAGACCAAAGGATTTTGATGTTCTCGCACTCTTACTGTATCTCAGTTCATCATCAGTTATTTCATATTGGTCATGACCAATATTGGTCTCTTGTTTTTGATTGTCAATAGTCTCCTGACTTTGTGTAAAATTGTAAGTTCTTTTCCATGAACTTAATGTTGTCCTTTCTTATAAGAAAAAAATATGTTCAAAGAATACAACATTCCTTGACTCTATAATAGTATTTACATGTACATCAAGTATTTCTGATTTATGAGTCAGAAACTGATATGCACTGCTATTATGTGCATAACCAATAAACACACAATCAACTATTTTTGGTTCTATCTTAGTCTTTTTAGGAACAGGAACTTCTACTTTTTCTAGACACCCCCAACTCATATGGAGTGCTATTGGTTTTCTCGTGGGATATTCTGTTAAGATCATAATTAGCAGACAAGATTGCTTTCCTCCACAAATTCTACGGAAGCTTGAACTTAGTAACATGGCATTCATCATTTCTTTAAGAGTTCTAGTTTGGTGAATAACGCCATGTTTTAAAGGTGCATCATATTCACCACCCCTATCACTTCTAACTATTTTAATGGCTTTACCTAGTTGATTTTCCACTTTGATTTTGTGGAGTTTAAACATTTCTAAGACTTTATCTTTACTTCTATGCAAGTATACATAACAATATCTTGTGCAATCATTAATAAATGTTTACTTTTTGCCTTCTCTAGTTTGAACAACTTTAAGGCCCCGTTTGTTTTCAGAGATAGAATGGATGGGATTAATAGTGAGGGGATTGATAGTGAGGGGATTAATAGTGAGGAATTGTTAAATTATTTTTATATAAAATAATAAAACAAATAAAAAAATATTAAAAAAATTAAACATTAATATTTAAAAAAAAATTCCCAATATATAAAAAATAAAATAAATAAAAAAATTTCTAATCCCCTCACTATTTTTCTAATATCATCTCTATCTCCTCCTTACCAATCCCCCTTCCAAGGGAACTACTAATACCAAGGGATTAATAGTCTACTCCCCATCTCTCAAAACAAACACCCCATAAGATCACATACATCAATATTAATTAATTTTAGAGATTTAGTTTTTCTTTCAACCGATTTAAATGGTGCATTAGTTAATTTCGCTTCTACACATATTTCACATTTATGAATAAGATCAATTTGAAATTTTGGTATATAATCCAAACCAACAAGCCTATGCAAAGGATCAAAATCCACATGTCCTAATCTACCATGCCAAAAATTATACTTAAGAATATAAATAGCAACTGTGTTAATCTTATTAATAGTAGAAATTAGTACAATAGTCATTACATTCATCTTAAAGAATCCATCGCTCATACACCCTTTACCCACATACATATCACTTCTGGTTAGTACAAATTTATCAAACTCAAATACAAGCCTAAAACCATTTTTACCCAACAAAGATCCAGAAACTAAATTCTTGCGAATGTCTGGTACATGCATCACGTTGTTTAGAGTAAGTTCATTCCCCGATGTCATTTTCAAGATCACACCAGCCACTGCAAAAGTAGAAGAATTTCCCATGAACGGTTGTTCTCAATTAGTAGCCTCACTATAAGAAGTGAACATCTTCCTATCCACACAAGTGTGACGTGTTGCCCAAGTGTCGATCCACCACTCTTTGGGATTTCTAACTAAATTAGCCTCAGACACCATAGCAGGACTGATGTCATTAACGCCTTTAGAGATGCTGTCTACTTCAGTCACATTAGCTTGATTGGCAGTCTTTTTACTTGTACTTCCGTGATCCTTCTTAGGACGTCGATAATCAGAGGCACGATGTCCAGTCTTGCCATAGTTGTAGCACTTACCCTTGAACTTTTTATTGTCGTTGTTGTCGCTTTGTTTAGTACCATCTTCAACATACTTCCTCTTGTTGTTATGTGGTTTGTGTACTTGTTCCACCACATTAGCCTTGGAATCAATGGGATTTTTACCATTCTTCTTTTCAGCATCACAGTTATCCTCTTCATTCCTCAGTCTAACAATGAGTTCCTCTAACGTCATCTATTTGTACTTGTGCTTTAAATAGTTCTTGAATTCTTTCCAAGCCGGTGGTAATTTTTCCACAATTACAGCAACTTGGAATGATTCGCTTAGAGACATACCCTCTGCGTGAATATCATGCAAGATAAGTTGGGAATTTTCACTTGGTTAATAACCATCTTAGAGTCAATCATTACAAAGTCCAGAAATTTGCCGACAACAAATTTCTTTGTGCTTGTATCCGTTGTCTTATATTTTTTCTCCAAAAACTCTCACAATTCTTTTGCTATTTTAGGAGGACTATAAACATTATATAGCATATTGTCCAGGCCATTAAGGGTGCAATTACTGCACAGAAAATCAGTATGCTTCCAAGCATCTATAGCGGCAACAACTTGCCGATCACTTTAGCCCTCTTTGAGTACTGGAGCATCTTCATGGAGGAATCGGGAAAGATTAAGAGTTGTAAGATAAAACAGCATCTTTTGCTGCGATCTTTTAAACTCTGTCCATTAAATTTTTCTGAATTTTCTCCATAATTCACAAGAACCACAGGGACTTGAATAAGGTTCTAAGTAACAGCTGGTGTTGGTGTAATAACCAAGTTTGGTGTACCAGTTTTAATAGGCATCAAATCTTATTACAAAAATCAGGACAAACAAATAAAAAATCCAAAACAATTTTCTAGTTTCAAAACTAGAAAGTAATTATTGTTTTGAATTCAAAAAACATATAAAATCAAAAATTTTAATACAAAGAAGACTAGTTTGATTATTTGCACCTTTTAGGAATTCCTGTTGCCACTCAAGAAATCCTATAGGTGTGAACAATAAGAAGCTTGTTGATTAAATGTAGGCATGCCAGAACTTGTGTACCTAGTTCAAGGAGTATGAATTATTGACCATTTCTGACTTTTAACACAGAGAAACAACTGCCTATAGCTAAGAGGAATCACCACTGGTTTGGATCTTGCCCCAATGAAGAGGACTTTTAACAAATTTATAGGTTTCAAATGATAATTTAGACAAGAATTGTAACTTGTATTGATTGGAAATGAAGCACAATTAATAATCTAAGAGAACTAAGCTAAGAAGTTGAATCGAGTTACAGTTATGAAGCTATGATAAGTAAGATATGAAGCTAACCTAAGGTAATTAAGCTATGAAGCTGAGGTAGATAAGCTATGAAGCTAAGATAAATGTATTGAAAGACTCTTGGTCGAGTGTTTGGTCGGGGACTCCTTCAATGTTGTACTTGGAGTCCATTATATAGTGTTGGAGAAGTTCCAAATTCTGCTCAACAGCCAGAAATATGGCATCCCTTTCTATTTACATGTTTCCTTGATGCTAAGCTTGATCCCCCAAAAGTAGGAATGATTTAAGCTAGGCCTATCCTTGTAAGCTTTGACTTGGTTCAACAAGCCCTAGAGAGCCGTCACGTGTCCTCCTCATTTCAATTTGAATTTATTCCACTTGATTTAAGGAACAGATTCATTGGTTGTTGCATAGACCTTCTTCTCTTTGCTATGCATGTCTATCCTCAAGGAATTCAAAAATCCAATCTTGCTAACTAATTCCATGATTTTAGTCCATGTTGATTCTTTAAACTACTACGTGTCCAGAGAATCTTCATATGAAGATCTTTACCTAGATAAACCTTATCACTTATCAATTAGATAAAGCATAACAATAGGAGATAAGATCCTAATCTAAGAGGAAGCCTCCAGACTAGGAGATAAGGCCCTTAATTAAGGGATAAGCCTTAACAACCTCCTTACTTTTAGGAGTGGCTAAGGCTTTCCTTATCTAATCAATCCAAACTATTTTATTTAATAAAATAATCAACCCATAATTTTTAGTTAATTAATTGAATAAAACAAAATCACTCCTTTTTGTTTCGCCGCCATTTAATTTAGGTAATTGGGTTCCATAAAATCTTTGACCTTACATCTCCTATCGCCACGTGGCACAAATAATTAAGAAAATTGTCACGTAGCAATTTTTTCCAAAAAAGGACATAAACAATGCCCTTTTCAAGTACATTCTTGGTTCTATCAAGCAATTGAAAATGATGTGCTTGAATTTCAACCCCCCTTTTTGCATTGATTTGAGCCTTTAATGATGACTCTCCCTAATAAGTTGGACCAAAAATCCTTCCCTAGAGAAACGAAACTTCGAAAAGTGAAGAGAGAGGGGTGAATTGATGCTCATTATTACGCCTGCCATCATTGCGGCGTCCTTTCGTTTCTCAGAATCTGATGGCAACTGTCAAAAGCATGACAGACAACATCTCTTGCAGAGGTAGAAATGACCTGGACTCTTGCACGAAGTGACTAAAGGAGCATCTTGAGGCCATTTTTGTAAAATTCAAGCTTACCGCCAAAACTTGGCACCAGCTTCCTTGAAAAGCTAATCAATTCAGTGCTAGGGTTATAAATACCCTCTTCTTTGTCCCTTTTTGCCTCATTTATCCACCTCCCTCTAAAAAAATTCCCTTGTCTCCTCTTTGTTTGCCTAGAATCTTCCTTTTTCCTTCTCTATTTTCATCAATGGCTTCCAAAAAAGCTAAGAAAGAACTTCCCTCTATTGGTTCTAAGGTTGAGGCCCTCGTCAAAGATAAGAAACCGTCCATGTATTCCGATCATTTGATTATCTTCCTTACTTCCTGGATTCATCTCTGTCACACAAACTAGGACTTGGTCCTATGTTCGCCGTTGGCTTCTCTTCCTATCTAAACAAGTATGGGTATGTTTGATTGGAAGGATTAAAGTATGGGATTGGGATTATTAATCCGTGGGTCCAATCATCCTATGTTTGTTTTGACATTTTGGTTTAGGATTATTAATCCAATGGATAATTAATCCAACAAATTTGTAGGATTATTAGTAATGGGGTAGGGGTGGGATAGTTAGTACCACACTAATTTGATAGGATTATTAATACCTCACTATTAGTGTTGTGAATCAAACATGGCCTATTATCCTTGTTTGGAGAAAAAGTGTTGTTCGAACGGTATGCTCCTACTAACTGGAGCCACTACAACCTTGTTTCTTCTATCAGAGTTTGGCACACCCCCAAAATTGAGTACATTGCCTGGTTAGACCGTGTAGCGGCTGCCAAAAGTCAAGTCTGGAAAGAGGCATGAATCTACGATTCCATCATGTTAAGCTGAGGAAATATTTGGCTTGATAAGGCTCTATTCTTCTCAATTTCTTATTACTGGTTTGTTTCTACCATCTCCTTTCATTTAAGAACTGGTATGATTGCACCTACTCTACAAGACATTGCCTTCCTAGCTGGTTTTCGACCACATGGAGAAGAGGTCAATACTCTCTTTACCTATAAGGATGTAGTCTACGTTTACCCTAACAAAAGGTCACTAACTTATTCATCTTTTCTGTCAACTGCTCAAACAACCCAGAGGTTTCTGAGTATGAACATGTCTCCTTCTTGATCTACTAGTTGAACTGGTCAAGGATTTCATTGAACTGGCCAAGGCCCTTTCCCAAGTAAGAAACTTGCACTGGGCCCTGTGGTTTTAGCTCACTTTACAGAGGAATGATGACGCTAGTTTCCTCACACTTTGTAAACGGCTTTCGACCTTTCTGGCTTATGCAACTTTGGCTTTGGGCTTACTTTCCAGTGTTTACCCCATCCATTCCTACTTCAATACCACAGTTTAAATTGTTTTGGCTTCCGTTTCTTAGAGGCCTACCCTAAAGCTCATTCCTTCGATGACTGCTTCTCATTCTTCTACAGAAACATGGTAACTCGTGATGCTTCTGCCCTTTTGTCATTTTCACACAATTTTTCTCCTTCCTAGCTGACCACTCCTCCATCCCAGCTTACTGGTCAGAAAGATGAACAATTCAACGTCTGGGCTAGTTCTCTAATTTCACAAGACCTTGCATTCGACCTCAACTTCACCCCAAACAATAGCAAATATGGTATAGAGATTTACAATGCTACACAGTTTACCCGTCAATTTGGTCTTTCCCAGATGATTCCTGTTCCACCTTATTGGTCTTAGAATGATAGCTTCATATGCAGATTTGTTTTGAGCACAGCAGACATCAAGGCAGTCAGCTCTGTGTTCCCTACATTGAAACAGAAGTTCTAACTCAAGGCCTTTGACGAAGCTACTGATACTACTATTAAGTTTAACGTCAAGTGGGGCATGTCTATCGTGAACAAGATCTCCATTGACCTAAAGGCCCTCTTGATTTGTGTCTCCCCAGACCGGATTGTCAGAATTGAAGAAACCAAGGAATCAGTTCCCCCAAGTCCTGCCCCTCCTGAATGATAGAAAAAAGTTATTCCTTCATTCTTTAACCGTTTTAATTCACTCATTTGCTTTGAGGAATTTTTCAAGTATAAATGGAATCCTTTAAAACTTGAAGAAACGAAAAAAATTCGGGAAGAAAAACTAACTAAAATTGCCAAAAAAATAGCAAGTTAAAGCAAATTTAGCTTTCCTTAGAAAACTCCTACTTTAGAAACCTTCCTGAAGCCTTATAGCATAATCATTCCTCCTTTTCCTGATACATCCTCTATCTTTGCTGGCACTCTTCACGAGAAATGAATGGATGTCTTCCTTTCTAAAAATGAGAAGGTTAGTGTTGCAAAGACCAACGTTCCTCCTTGGGAAGTTGAGGATGCTCTTAGACAAGGAATAATCAGAACAATTCTTGTCCCTAGTGCAGGTCAATCTTTTTCATTTCTGCCTATTTATCTGTGTTCTACTTATTTCTGACCCTTTATTTTTAGGCTTACAGTTGTTGTACCTACCCCCTCTGACGTACTAGTAAAAATGGTCAAGAAAAGCCCTCCAGCAAAAAGGAAAGTTGTCTTTTCCAGATCTACACAAGCATGTCTAGAATTTACCATTCATTTCTGGAACATGACAATCCTAATTTTCTGATTAAGTAAACTTTTGTCTTTTAGGAAGGTGCTACCCCACGTGCCAAGAAAACTAGGCCCACCTATAAAGCAGACATCGCAACCAGTCCTTCTGCCTCTTTTTCTTTTAAGGTAGAAACTTTCCATTATTCCTGACTTAATTTATTTGACCTTCTACCGAGCCTTCCTTTTTCATTTCAAGAATCCCCTGAGGTTGTAATAACTAA